GTTTTTAATAAATTCCTCGAGCAAATCGTAAGGCTTTACGATTTACTCAACTTTTTAATTAAAAACGCGTTTTTTATGGTTTACTCGACGTTTTTATTAAAAACGCGTTTTTTACGATTTCGACGAGAAATCTCGAATAAATCGTATGTTTTAAGCAATGTTCGGTGTTTCGTCAACCGTCGCCGTTTTATACGATTTTCCTCGAGTTCTTTATCGAGTAAGCGAAGTTTTACGGTTTTTACCGTAAAACTCGAACGATAGGTCGGATCGAGATGGAACATGAGATGTTTCGGCCATGGTTCAGAATGCGACCGTGTCGAAAGACGTAAGTTTCAAATCGGGAAAGCGGGAGATCAAGTCTCGGGACGTCCAGGAAGCTTCTAGTTCGCCCGTTGGCGAACAAAGCCGGGCCAGCTTAGTTCGCCAATAGGGCGAATTAGTCGAGCACTTCCTATTTCCCCTATTGGCGAACTAAGCCGGGCCAGCTTAGTTCGCCAATAGGCGAACTAGTCGAGCACCTCCTAGTTCGCCCATTGGCGAACTAAGCCGGGCCAGCTTAGTTCGCCAATAGGCGAACTAGTCGAGCACCTCCTAGTTCGCCCATTTGCGAACTAAGCTGGGCCAGCTTAGTTCGTCAATAGGCGAACTAGTCGAGCACCTCCTAGTTCGCCCATTGGTGAACTAAGCCGGGCCAGCTTAGTTCGCCAATAGGCGAACTAGTCGAGTACCTCCTAGTTCGCCCATTGGCGAACTAAGCCGGCTCGGCTTAGTTCGCCCGTGGGCGAACTGGTCGTGACTAGTTCGCGTTTTACGGCTGTTTCGGTTTTTTTGCGGTTTCGTAAAACGATTTTCGAGTTTTATAAGACAATTCTCGAGTTTTATAAGACGATCTTCGAGTCTTGTAAAACGATTTCTCGAGTTTTATAAAACGGCTTCTCGAGTTTTATAAAACGGTCTGCGAGTTTTATAAATGACTTTGAGTTTTATAAAACGACTTTTCGGGTTTTATAAAACTATTCCTTTTGTATTTTTGCGGGGAGTTTTGGCTATTAATTCCGTCGTACCGATTTTGACCCCAACAGGACCTCGAATATTCTGTTGCATCTCACGACCCTACTGGATCTGTAATTACTATTGGGGTGATTCTTTGAGGATTCCGAATCCCCCCAAGTAGCAGATCCTGGAGATCTTTTGGCTACCTCGTACAGTGGTTATTCCTTCAGGTGTAGGAAATTTCACGCATTTGTGATAAGTGGAAGCTACTGCTTTCATCTTATGGATCCAGGGTCTTCCTAGGATTGCATGAAACGGAGAAGGTCTGTCGATAACTACGAAATTGGTCATTTTCATAATCCCGCCAGCTATGACTGGAAGCTTAATAGTTCCCAGAGAGGTAACTGTTTCTCCGAAGAAGCCCACGAGGTTAGCTTTCTGGCCAATAATTTCGTAGTTGTACATTTCCATCCCTTTCACGGCGCTAAAAAAAATAAGGTCGACAGAGCTCCCGGTGTCTACCATCAGCTTAGGCACTTCGTACCCTGCAATGTTCAGAGTGACGATCAGGGCGTCATCGTGAGGCCTGTCAAGGTCTGATGTCTCGCTCTCCCAAAAGGAAATCTTAGTTTTGGATTCAGGGTTGGGAGGCTTAGATTGAGTGTTAGACACAGCCTTCCGTACGTGACTTTTAATAGAATTAACGGAGTCCTGACATATATCGGACCCTCCGAGGATATAATCCACCCTCGAACTGGGGCTCGATTGAGGTGGTGGTTTGCTCAGAAGGGCCTCGATTTGTAGGCTTTTTCCCTGGGGAAATTTCCCAAGAATCATGTCGACTCTTTTCTTGGGAGCTGGCGGTGGCGAGTCTGTCTCCTTCTCAGGTGACCTTTCGCGTTTCGGAGAGGTATCTTTGGGACCTCTTTTCTGGTAGGGTGGTGGTTTTTTTAGTTCCACGTCCTTTAGCTCTCCAGCTACAAATTTAGCTGCCAATTGCCGCTGGAGGTCCCAACATTCCTCAGTTGAGTGTCCTTTTCGATCGTGATAAGAGGAGTGTTTATTCTCATCATAGCCTTTTGACCAGGGAATTTTACTTGTCGCAGCAACACGTATTTCCTGTTGGGCTTCTTCGACTGCATAAGAATGCTCTCCCTGGGTCTGATTATTTCGGAAGCTCCCCTTTATAGGGGGTCCTTTTGCTTCCAGGGCTTCACCTTTCGGGTGATTCTGAGATTTCTTATGGATTTTATCTAGTGCAGCTGTTTCCTCTTCCAAGGTAATATATCTAGATGCTTTGCGAAGAGCATCATCGATAGTTGGGGGAGGATTGAGCGTTAGTTCGGACCAGAATTCTGATTTGTACCAGAGGCCTCTTCTAAGGGCTTCGATGGCAACTTGGTCGTTGGGATTCGAGAGCTTAGTTCTTACTGCTCTGAATTTTTCAATGTAGACCTGTAGTGAGTCTCCCATTCCTTGTCTGATTTTCCAGAGGTCAATCTCGGAAGCTTGCTTTAGGATATGGGTCGAGTACTGCTTCATGAAGGCGTTGGTCAGCTGGTCGAAATTGTCTAATGAGTTCGGCTCAAGGCCAGAAAACCATTCGAGAGCTGTTCCGACCAGGTTTTCGGCGAATGTTCTGCAATAACCTGCCTCGCATTCTTCTCTCGTAAAATGAGCTTTCACGATAGCTAATCGGAAGGCTCTCAAATGAGCCTTAGGATCTGAGGTCCCATCATATTCGGGAATCCTAACTTTTCGGGTATCTCTTATGTAAGAGCTAGTGATTCTGTCCGTGAATGGGGTTTCACGAGTTTCCTCAATCAAGCTCTCAATTTCGGGAGCTGAGCTCGTAGCCTTGTGGACTTAAGCATTCAAATTTTGGAGAACTGCATGAGTTTGCTCCATATATCTGCGGATGGCCTCAGGTCCCTCTAGAGGAAGGATAGTTGGGTCATTATTAGGTATCTGACGGGAAGGTTCCTGACGGAGTCGAGTTTGGTCATTCTTCCAGGCATTTGGTGGGCTAAATTGCTCACTAGCTCTTGGGTTGTTTTGATGAATGTGACCAGTAGGATGAGCTGTGGGATCAGCTTCCGTCCTTTGATGATCATTCCGATTTGGAATCGCGTTCCCAGTCTGATAAGCCGAAGCTGATGTTCTTCCCCCAAGAGGGAAAGATATTCCTTCTCCGGACCTGAAAACAGGTAGAGGAGGTGGCAAGCGTGTGCTCTGCTCAATAACCCGATTGGGCGCAGAGCTGGTTGTCGCTACGTTACTTCCCATAGCGCTGGTTACAGGTGGATTAAATGTAGGAGCTGTTCCACCGTGAGGTGTCTGGAGAACAGATTCTTGCCCATCCGGAGCAGTGCTATCAGGGGAAAAATCTAGATGTCCACGAGGGAACGTGGGATCGGACAACCGATCTCGGAACGTGATTCCCGAACCTTGGCGTTGAAGCGGTTGGGTTGTTACGGTCAGAGATCTAGTTACCTCTTCAAATCGTTGCTGCCGAGCAGCTAGCTGTTGCAACGTACGCTCGTTCTCCTGAGCTTTGTCAACTAACTGCACCATCATTTGACGGATCTCAGATAGCTGAGCCTCCGATTAGTTCGGAGCGGGTTGACGCTGACGGTTCTCAGGGGCTGTAACCCCAGAGTTGTTTCCACTGGAGGATCTCGGGTTAGTTATTCTAGTGGTGGTCTGGTTCGGTTGAGCATTAGCCGGAGGCTGTTGCTCAGATCGGTGATCGGCGAGTCGAGGCTCCGGGACTTGGGGATTCGAGTCTCTTCCGTTTGGTGAGCCGTTGATCTGGATCACGAGATCAGAGATAGATGGGTTCGTTGCCTGGCTGGATGGATCCATTCTTAAGTTACAGAGTAAGGGATTCGATTATCTCTTCCCCACAGACGGCGCCAAATGTGACGGGTAAAACTCACTTCCTAGTTTTTAGTAACAGGTTAGGTTTAGGGAAGAAATCGTGTGCTGAACCCCGTTAGACTTGTATGAATGAATATGTTTGTTTATATTGATTTTAATAAGAAAATGAGTTTACAAAGATGATCTAATCGGAAGTACAATGATGAATTGAGATGATTACAATGAACGAAAAGTGTTTAAGTCTTTAGGTCTCAAATGACTCGAGAGAGGATACCTTTCTCTGATCTCCTCCTCCTCTTTAAATAGCTCTCAGCCATGTTTAAACGATCTTAGTCAACCTCCAAGATTTGCTCCGTGAATTGGGGGATTCTTCCTTAGCAAACAGCCTCCGACTTCTTTTTAATTCTTTTTTGAAGGATTAATCGTCAATGGGCTTATAATGGCCCATTGTTAACTCTTATCACTCGGGCCCATTAGCTAACGGGTTATATTCGGGCCAACATCGATGTACAACCAAAAAACTAATGGAGGTGCTGTCAACAAAACCAAATAACAGATTAGGACAAAAAGGATCCATAGCTCAGTGAGAGAGCATAGATCCAGAGGTCACCGGCTTGATTCTGTTGCGCCCTTTACCTATTATTTTTTGCTTTGCAAATGCATTTATCTCATTTTTAAAAAATCTCGTGATCGTGAATGATTAATGAAAGTGAACCAAATGATGACTCGTTCATGTATATGGCTGCGTTAATGAATTTTACTTCTATATAAGGTCACGGGATCTCGTTTCTGATATTCCTTTCCTACCAACAAATCAAGAGTCCTAAAACCAATTAATAATAAATATTATCTCTAAGTTGACAATAAGAAAATAAATAAACGGTGATATTGCTACTGTCCACTGTTATTGGTGCAACTCCAAAATTAATAAACGGAAATCAAACACATTATTGGTGACAACCCCACGGGTCATAGTAACTATTTGTCCGTATGCAATACATATACTTATTGTATGATGCTTTGTACATATACGACATTTTGTGTTTTAGCATATACATATAATATTATTTGTATAAATAGACCCATCGAGAACTAAAAAGCAGTCAAATCAAACTCTAAGTTTCGTTTCCAACTCTCTAATCCATCTTTTTCATATTTAGTTTCTGTGAAGATGGGGAATTGCTCTCAAAGAGCAGTATCCGACGGTGGTGGCTCTTCTGTCAAAGTAGTTGAAAGGGGTTCCACAAACATCGTGGAAGAATACTACAGAAGTTGTAGTTGCAGCTCATTGGCGCCGATAAAGAGGGAGGAAACTCTAAGGTGTCTTGTCAAGCAAGGTACATTAAGCCCTAGAAGAGTTGGGCCAAAGATTCAAGTGTCGCCACAGAGAAGAAACAGAGTTTGGAAAGCGAAAGTGCTGATCGGGAGTAAACAGCTTGAAGATATTCTAGCAGATGATGGCAATACTCATGCCTTGATTGATCAACTTCGGATTGCCGCCGCAGAAGCTTCAGCCTCGGAGATAGTTGGAGGTAGAAACTTATCATCACGAAAAAGCAAAGAGAGTTATTTCTGTTAGGTTTGATGCTCGCACTCTGTTTTTGTTTGTTTGTTTGTTTAGGTTCTACTCTGTAAATCCTTGGAAGCGAAAATGTATATAGTACAAAAGGTTGAGAATAAATTTACTGATATGGATCATACTCCTACAAAAAATAGTGGCTCGTTTGCCAGGTCCTCTAAGAAACACATTACGACCAGTGGCGGAAGTAGTGAATGAGCATGGTGATCAAATTACCCATATGAATTATGAAAAAAATAGTGTAACATTTATTAAATATTCTAAATTGACCTTAGTCCATTATTTTTTTTGACCCCCATTAATCTAATTTAACTTGTTCAATCCATTAGGAAACTAAAAAAAATTACTAGCCGAATAAACTATATAAACCACTACAAAATAAAATAAACTAAGCTCATTAAAATAATAAACCTAATCAAGTCAATTATCATTGTTAAACTAATTCTAAAACCCCTAATTATTTATTTTTTCTTCGATTTTTCCTTTTCCCTGTTTACGGCTCGTGACGGTGAATCTCTAAACCTGAACTTGATCCAATTTGTTTTTAAAATCAAGGTAATTATTTTATGTTTTTAACTTTACAATAGTTTTATACGTTTCTCTTCTTCTTCCGGATACAAAATTAGTGTTTTATCTTTACAAAATCTTTTGATTTATGATTTAGTTTTCTTCTCAAAAGACAACAAGCATATGGTCTCCTCAAATATTTTCACACATTTGAGTTTATTTTTTGGGAAAATTGCCAAATATGACTCAAAACTTGATTTGAAATGCAAAAGTAAACCCAAACTTGAATCAAATGCAAAAGTAACTTAAAAGGCTGTTGAAATTACAACCAACCCCTTGTGAACAAACAAAAAAATAGTCTTTTTTTACGTTTTTAGCCCTCGCAAGTCGTCTGGGACAGTTTTTCTTAAAAATAATTTAAAAATTGTGTAATAAATATCTTGATAAATGAAAAATTGGGATTATGTAATTAACATATGTCTTAAGCAATATAAATTAAGATATAAAAAAAGTCAGTTGTTTTCAGCATAGATGAGTGAAAGTAGTGAGTGATGATATTCTTTAGTTTAGGTTTCACCAACATATGTTGTAGTATTGTATGTGTTTCTTAGGGTTAAAAATTCAAAAGCATAAATGTTTTTTTTTGAAAAATTTAAAATTTACCTAAGTGTGTTTATTTTTGTGTATAGTAAACACTATTTATGTATAATTTGATTTTATAACATGGTTAGTAGTTAATTTAGTCAATTTAGTTTAGGGTTTAGGGTCTAGACATTTTAATTTAATAAGGCAGACGACTTAGTCGGATGTATAGTATCAACAGACGACTTAATTATAAGTCGTCCAAACCGGATTTTACCAAATTACTTTTAAACCTAACCGTATTTTTTACCGGACATATATAAGATGTTTTTTCTTTTGACTCACTTTTTCGCGAAACTCAGAAAACCCTAACGGCGTTTCTCTCAAAGGTGATTTCGAGGAGATTTCGATCCGATACAAGACCAAGGTAAATCGAAGGCTTCTCTTGCAGATTTATGGGTTATTATTAGAATGGATGTTGTTTTCCTTTACTTTTACCGTTTGGTTTTGTGTTTTTAACGTTTTGGGGAAATTTTGGTTTCAAATTAGGGTTTCAATAATTGGGGATTTCAATCGACTTGTTGTTTAGTTAGGTTGGATGTTGTTTTCCTCTCTTTTTACGGTTACAATTTGTGATTTCAAGCAATTTGTGGATATTTTCATTTCAAATTAGGGTCGTCCACCTGCAAGACTTTCCAGACGACTTAATTATAAGTCTACCAAGACATCCAGTAGAACATTTTAAAGCTAACCAGACGAATGAGAGGAGAACAACATCCAACCTAACTAGACCAAAAATCAGCTTTCAAATGTTCTACTGAAAGTCTTGGTAGACTTATAATTAAGTTGTCTGGAAAGTCTTCCACCTGGAAGACTTTCCTGTGGAAGACTTTCCAGACGACTTAATTATAAGTCTTCCAGGTGGACAACCCAAACGACTTAGAATTAAAATGTTTCCAATTCGTTTCTTGTTTGCAGATAGCGAATCAGCATGAACCTCACTTCTTGAAGCCTCTGCTTTCTGGTTTCTACAGTGGCGTGGTATACACACGCTCTCTATTTCTCCTCAGTTTATTTCCTTTGCTTATCTTCTCCTTTGTTGACTTGTAGACATTACCACTTGCCTTCTACTCAAAACACATAGAAGGCACGCCGAACCAAGGAAAATGGACACTACGATCGGACGCTTCACACCAAACTTGGGAAGTTATACAAGAAGGAAGAAGACTCACCGATGGTTGGGAAGCCTTCGCCCAAGCACACTCCCTTTGCATCGGTGACATTCTCGTGTTCAAAAAGGAAGGAGACATGGTATTTCATGTTACTCCTTTCGTTCCTAGTTGTACTGAGATTCAGTATACACCTCCTCAAGGGGATGATGCTGCGGATGGTGCCTCAACTTTCTCGTCTCTTCCTAAATGATGGATGTTTGTCTTGCTATCGTCTAATTGTAATCTGCTTCTAGTGGACTTGTAATGGATGACTTCTATGTTGTTGTTCCCTTGTTTCAAATTGTTTTTAAACCTATGACTTGTAGTGGATGATCAACTTTTATAACTACAACTCCTTTTGTCCTCTATGTACAAACCATGGTAACACCAATTTTAATTATTAGTCGTCTAAGAAGTCTAACACAAATTCTAACACAAATTCTTAATACATACTCAAAAAGCCTGGACGACTTAGTAGACGACTAATATTTTAAGTCGTCTGGAAAGTCATCCAGCCGGAAGATTTGTCAGACGACTTAATTATTAGTCGTCTAACCCCGTAAGTATTCTATTCATACGACTTTCAACTAAGTCGTCTGGATGACTTAGTTGAATGTCGTCTGGTATACTTATTCTTAAACATAATTTAAAAAATTTGTAAAAAATATTTAGATAAGTGAAAAATTGAAATCATATAATTAACACCAGTTTTAAGAGATATAAATTAAGATAGAACAAAATTTAATTATTTTTAACATAGATGAGTGAAAGTAGTGAGTGATGATATTCTTTGGTTTTGGGTTTGCCAACATATGTTGTAGTATTGTATGTGTTTCTTAGGGTCAGATTTTCGAAAGCATAAATGTTTTTTTGAAAAATTAAAAGTTTACCTAAGTGTGTTTATTTCAATATATAGTAGACTCTATTTAAGTATAATTTGATTTTATAACGTGGTTAGTTAGTTACTTTAGTCAATTTAGTTTAGGTTTTAGGGTTTAGGGTCTGGACGACTTATATCTAAGTCGTCTGGTAAATATATTTAATAAGGCAGACGACTTAGTCGGATGTATAGTATCAACAGACGACTTAATTATAAGTCGTCCAAACCAGATTTTACCGAATTACTTTTAAACCTAACCGGATTTTTTACCAGAAATATATAAGAAAATTTTTTTTTTACTCACTTTTCGCGAAATTCAGAAAACCCTAACGCCGTTTATCTCAAAGGTGATTTCGAGGCGACTTCGATCCGATACAAGACCAAGGTAAATCGAAGGCTTCTCTTGTCGATTTAATGGGTTTTTATTAGGATGGATGTTGTTTTCCTTTACTTTTACCGTTTGGTTTTGCGTTTTCAATGATTTCGGGAAATTTTGAACAAATTTGGTTTTCAAAAATTGGGGATTTCAATCGACTTGTTGTTTAGTTAGGTTTGATGTTGTTTTTCTCTCATTTTGCAGTTACTATTTGTGATTTCAAGCAATTTGTGGATATTTTTGCAGTTGCTATGTTGTTTTCCTCTCATTTTACCGTCGTTCTCATCGAGCTTCTTTTTTCACGTCTATTTTTGCAGTTCTATAACCGCTATGTCGAAGGCGAGTACATCTTCTCCGAATTTTCAGGTCAGCTTTCAAATGTTCTACTGGAAGTCTTGGTAGACTTATAATTAAGTCGTCTGGAAAGTCTTCCACCTGGAAGACTTTCCAGACGACTTAATTATATGTCTTTTGACTGGAAGACGTGACAGACGACTTAGTTATAAGTCGTCTGGAAAGTCTTCCAGACTTATAATTAAAATGTTATACTAGATGGTTGTGCGTTTGAGATGGTTTTCTTTGATTTTTTTGCAGAATATTCTCGAACTCCCCCGTAGGATACATACACTAGGGCAAGAGCCTAGAGCTCAGCATAGCATTACGTATCATCCGTGTACGAAGTTGTATACTGCTCTAAGGGATGCTCTTAAGGATGAAGAATATGAAGAGCTGAAGGAGTCTAAGTTGGGAGTTTTCATCAAGTTCCTAGAGCTGGATTTTGAATGGGCTTCAAGGCTGGTTCACTACATACTCTGTTTCCAGCTCGACATAAAGAAGAAGTATGAGCTGTGGAGTCTTGCTGGTCCACAACATTTTAGGTTTTCACTGTTAGAGTTTGAATACCTCACTGGTCTAAACTGCAAGTACATTGAGGACCTTGAGAGACCAAACTGTCCTGTTACAAAGGAGTTCGTTGCTTTGTGGGAGTTGTTCGGAGTTAATGTCGAAGCTGGGCCAACTACTGATCAGTTAATAGATGCATTTGGGAGATGCGAAAAGTGGTCTCCGGATGATCGCAAGTGGCTCGGTACCTTGCCATCTTGGCTGGATACACTGAAGGGAGGAAGTTTCAACCCATACACGGGCTTCTCTGGCTAGGCTAGTGATGGATCTAGAACGGTTTGAGAATTATCCATGGGGGAGAGTCGCGATTAAGGTGTTGATAGACTCTGTGAAGGGCAAAGATATATCTGGTTGTTACACCATTGATGGGTTTGTACAAGCTCTCCAGGTCTGGGTGTACACAGCTTTGCCGAAATTGGGTGCTAATTATGGTCAGCCCATACCAAACTGCTATCCACCGATACTAGCTTACAAGGGTGCCAAAGGACGGCATTTGAAAGATGCCATTGAAAGACAGGTATTTACTTTACTCCAGAAGCAG